ACACAAAAACACCCAAATTTGCTGATAGTATCCATTTGACCTAGCCTCAATGACTTGATAATCAGAATTTGACTACAGGAAGATTTAAAAGAAAACAAACAATTTTTTGATACAGGAAACGAGAGTAAATTGCTACAATATGAAAAATTTGACCTATACTGACTCAACGGCACTTAACAACAACAACAACATACTTATGGATGTAGTAGCACAAAATATGAACAGAGAGGGAAGCAGTCTTCACATCAACTATCAATCTTATCACCTCTCTATACAGGGTAGATATGGACAGGCAACTTAGACGTTGACTGCCTCAAATTGGGGAGGGGGAGCATAAAGGCACAAAGTGACTGGCTTACAAATTTTCAGGAGGTATTTTAGTTTAGGGGTGTGCAGAGAAAGGTAGTGTCCCCACTGAATAGTTTTCATCTTGTCTAAACGGGTCTGGTGAAAAGAGATAGGGATAAGATTCTGTGATTCAATAGTGAGTACTTGTTATCATGACTGATTACAATGGTCACAACTGTAAATCTAGAAGTTTTGTAACAAAAACAGGGAAGTAGTTAACCTTACAGTCCAGAAACAAAGGACCCAAGGACCGTCAACGGAGAAGAGCACAAGCAGAATGAAGGACCCTTTCCACAGAATCAGGGACACCAGAGATGGAGGCAGAGAAGAGGACATGGAGAGAGGGAGCAGCTGGGGAGTCTGAACTCATGGAAAGAGAGGGACTGAGTCCTGGCTGCCAGGAAGCAGGCTTGCAGAATGTGTGCTTTGGTTGTTTAAATCATTATATATTACGGAGTGGTTTTGTATACACTCCCCCCCCCCTTCCACTTCACCCCCCCAAAAAAAAACAAAACAAAACAAAAAAACAACAGAGGGAATGGAAGCAAACATTGTTGAATGATGATGCATGGAGATTGTAATCATTGCAATTAAGCGATGTTGTAAAGCTGATGTTCTCCTATGTAAATAATCACTCAGTTCACAATAAAAACTTTTAAAACAACAACAACAAAAAGCTGCAGGAAGGACCCCAACAAGGGACAGCAGAGAAATCAAGCAAAAGGATTAGTCCCTCTACATCCACCGTAGGCCAGTTACTCAGCATATTCAAGTGCTGGGGAACCACTTACTGTTGTTGCTGTTTTTCAATTTGTTACTACAAACAATGTTGCAATGCATAAGTTATCATTATAAAGATGTTGTTAATAAAAGACAAATACTGAAAACTTAGAAAAAGTTTTTTAAATTAACATCAGAACCAATTTATGATGGAATCAGGAAAATGGAATTCCATTGTAAGTCAGGAACTACTGGAAGTTATTTCATTGCTTCTTTTACATATTAGGGTTCTGTAAGTGTTTGGTTAAAAAGAAAACTTCCTTCAAAGTTAGCTACAAATACACTTAAAAATCTCTGAACTGAAAGATCTGTAATATCCTTTCCTTGTCTGAATGCTCCACAATTTTATGATTCTTTTAGCCATTAACTCTGCCTTGAGATCACAGATTTCTCACATTCTGCTCACTATTCTTATGATGTCTACCCTTTCATTATGTTGGTTTTGGAAAAATACCAAACAGAAGCAGTTATGTGACATGGCATCAACTGCCCCTAAGAGAGAATCAACCATAGTTTCAAAAGTATTCACATGTGAAAGTACCGACAGCAAAAAAATACAGGTTAAAAAAAAAAAAAAAATTAACATAGTTATTAAAACAAAATTTCCAAACCCATCTACCTTTGTTGTTTAAAGTTCATTTCTGTGGCTTTTTATATGAGTTGCTGTTAAGTGCCATCAAGTTAGTTCAGACTTATAGTGACCTTGTTGTATAGGGTTTCCGAGGATCAGATGCTGAATTTGAATTGCCGACCTTGCAGTTCAAACAACTTGTGGTCCAGTGCTTATCCCACAGTTCCACAATATTTAGGTACACTTAATTATAACGTATGCAAGGTTAATTATATATATACACATGTAGCAATGTACATATATCCATACCGTTTATGTGTATGTGTAAATAAAATTTTCTATGGTCAATATGAAATTAAGATTGGTTAAGGATGCTCTTGTGGGGAAAACATAAAGAAAGGTGAGGGAATAAAAAATGCATAATTCAAGCAGTTGCCCTTAAGTGAGCAGTAAGACCAGGATTGGTGATTGAAAGGGGTCACAAAAGGTGATAAAGAGCTTTTACACTGATCATTTTGTTTATGTAGCTTAGGAGATGGATACTTAGATGTTTACTTTATAATTATACTTTTGACTGAATACTAGGTGTTGTATGTTATTAAGATGTGATACATTTCATAATTAAACAAGGTTGCTTTTGAAAAGAACCTCTGATTCTAGCTCAAAATGAAATAGTTTTAATGATATTAATGTTTGTTGCATGCACACATGATTGAAGCAGCAGTTTGTAGAAGGTGTATTAGAATTACCTTTCAGACTGCTTGCTGTACTTGTTTGCCTTTTTCAATCAGTGTTATCATTATTTTAACTTTAGTTCTCTAGAATATCAGCATGATGTATTGTTGAAAAGTCACTTTATAAATAAAGCGATTTATTTATAAATCATTGCCAATTTTCTATCAAATAAATTTCTAATAAGAAATTTGTATATAAAAGATGAATATTTTATTCATCTGTGCTTATGTCTATATGTAAATATTCCTATACATACATATAAAGTCCTGGTGTGGATAATGCGCTGGACCACAAGGTCCACTTGAGCCAAAAGGTCAGTGCTTCAAACCTACCAACTGCTCCTCGAAAACCCTATACAGAGTTGCTATGAGTCGGAACCGACTTGATGGTACTTAACAACAACATGCATACATATGTGGACATATATATGTTCCTGGTGTGACACTGTGGGTTAATGCGTTGGACTGCAAGGTTGGTTTGATCCACAAGGTTGGTGGTTCAGGCTCACCAGTCACTCCTTGGAAATACAGGGTCCCTATGGGTAGGAACTGACTTGGCAATACTGCACAACAACATTTATATAGCAATATCAGCATTAAAGCACACGTATAACATCATTTCAGAAGATACAAGTTATTATTTATAACCTTTGCTAAGTAAGACATTGTAAAGATACAAAGTAATAAAGTTTAAAAATACTGGAACCATCAAATTTATGATCATTTTCTCCTGCTTTCACTGCTTTTTCATTTTGTCTGATTCTATTTTAGTTGAAAATGTTATTTTAAATATGTAAATACTGTCTTCTTATGAAATTGATACTTCTGTAAAAAAATAAAATGAAAAATCCACTTTGTTGAAAATTCATTTTGTGTCTTGGCTTTTAATGTACTCACAAGTATTTTCTTCTATTAACTGTGATTTTAATTTTATACCTTATAAAATGTTAGTTGAAAGATGAGGCTGTTTACTCCCATAAAGAGTTAGTGGTTTTGGAAACCCAAAGGAACAGTTCTGCCCTGTCTTACCGTATCCCTTTGTGTCGGAATCTGTCATTTCAGTGCGTTGTATGTAGAGGAATATTCCTTTACTATATTGAATATGCACAAAATGTGGTCACATAGTGAAAGTTAATTATATTTAGCTTTCTTAAAATTTCTAGAATGTTTATCTGACTGAATATAATTGTCATGCAAACAAAGGTTATATTTCTAAATCAATAGTGTCATAAATTCTAGCCAGATTTAGATTCCTTTGTAGATATCAAAATTTGATGATATAATTTAGATTGTAATGCATGTATCAATTTTTCAATAATAATGAGTTTTATAGATTTAAGTTTTCATTTTGACTGTATTAGAAAATATTATTCATACCACTTACTATTTTTTTTTCCCCCCCAATAAATTACAGCAAAACATCTATTTTGGAGTTTAAAGTATGTCATCATGGCAAAGTTTCGGAGAAGGACTTGCATCATTTTGTCTCTTTTCATTCTATTTATTTTCTCACTGATGATTGGTTTAAAAACTTTGAGACCAAATACAGCTACATTTGGAGATCCATTTGGACTTGACATTCTTCCAGACTTTCGACAACAAACTATTCACTTGGAGAAAAAATCTGATTCCAAAAAGAGTGACAATATCAACCATGAAACAAATTCCAAGAATTTAAAAAGTGTAGAGATTACTATGAAACCTTCCAAATCCTCTGAACTTAACCTAGAAGAACTGCCACCTCTAAATTATTATTTACATGTATTTTATTACAGTTGGTATGGAAATCCACAATTTGATGGTAAATATATACATTGGAACCATCCATTGTTGGAGCATTGGGACCCACGGATAGCCAAAAACTATCCACAAGGGAGACATAATCCACCAGATGATATTGGTTCCAGCTTTTACCCTGAATTGGGAAGTTATAGCTCTCGAGATCCTTCTGTCATAGAAACCCACATGAGACAAATGTGCTCAGCTTCCATTGGTGATTATTTGTGTGTGTATGTATGTGTATGTAGTTAAGGATATTTGTATAAACATGATTTTTTGTGGAACATTTAATGGCTAATTGTTGTTGTGTGAAGTGCCATGGAGTTAATTCCAACCCATAGTGACCCTGTATAGGGTTTCCGAGGAGCAGCTGGTGAGCTTGAACCATTGACCTTGCA